AAAAAAATGTTCATTTACCTGTTACTACCACACACCAAATCCGGTCGTTGGTACTTGCTGGCTTGTGTAGCCACTAGGTAACAAGAGCTCAACACTGGGCCTAGCATTCTGGAACACTTCTGTTGTCTTTTGTACGTGCTTCTGAGTTTTTACGTATTTTGGAGTTTTTACGTGCTTCGGGGTTTTTACGTGTTTTGGAGTTTGTACGTGCTTCGGAGTTTGTACATGCTTCGGAGTTTTTACGTGTTTTGGAGTTTGTACGTGCTTCGGGGTTTGTACGTGCTTCGGAGTTTGTATGTGTTTTGGAGTTTTTACGTGTTTTGGAGTTTTTGCTTCAGGGTTTGTACGTGCTTTGGAGTTCGGACATGTTTTGATGTTTGTATGTGCTTTGTCTCTAGGAGCCACCGTAAATATACTTTTATTTATTCACTCCACATAAAATTTATTTAAATAAATAAATCATATAATACAAAAACCAGAGCCACAGCCAACCGTGGCTCAACCCCTGAGCCACCGTGGCTGAGGGAGCCATACAGGCTTGGACCGCTACTGGGTACAGCATCAGTCACCAAACGACAATGACAAAACCTGAATGTACCTAAATGTAATGAGGCCAAAGGAGAAGGAAGAGGGAGGTCTTTTTCCATTGGGTGGAGAGCAGCTAAAAGAATAAAATAAAGGGGTCAGTGCACCCAAGAAATACAAAACTCAAGAGTAGTAGATAACATTTGTCTCAATCATCCAGGTAAGTAAATCTCCAAAAGTTGATTCTGTTCATCTGGACGTAGCGTTTTGTGGGAGAAACGTTTTGTCACTCATCCAAGTGACTTCTTCAATCTCAGCTGACTGCAGGTTTCCCAGATCTTATAAACAGTACACTTGCATAATGACTGAAACTATCACAACTTAAGTGTACCGGAAGCTGATGCGTACCGGAAACCTATGCATACGGATCAGTATTTAAGGTTTGACTCTCATCATCCACTGGAGCATAAACTGGGTGTCATCAGGACGCTACAACACAGAGCAAACACCATCCCCACAGACACAGCGGCCAGGGAAGCAGAAGAACATCACATCAAGAAGGCCCTGAGTAAATGTGGTTATCCCAGCTGGACATTTGCCAAAGCTGCAGTATTCATGCTTGTGCCACTTTTGTGCATACTCTGTCACTCCTCTCCCAACTGCTCTGTGACTCTTCTTGACTGCCCTCACCTCCCATCTCTTATGCAGTGTGAACAGGTGTGGAGAATTGCTTTGATTATGGTGTGGGTAGGAAGAAAAAAACCCTTAAAAATAAAAGCATGCAAAATATATATAAACATGCATAAAACCATACTACAGAATATAATATTAAAACTACTTCTACCCCCGTAATATAAACAAGGGCATTTTCCACAAGGACACCCAAGTGGGTTGGTAGATAAGTATGGTCACACATAGTTTCAGGAATGGAAGCTCTGTGGAGGTAAGCATCGACGACACAGAGCTCTCAGTTCTCACTCCTTCTTTATTCGTCTCCAACATCAACTGCACATATCG